ATGTACCAAGGAGAAGCTTTTACCTCTCTAAACACTTTATTTTGAGTAATCTGGATCTAGATTGTTTTGTACTATTTGTTACGTATAGGTACTGCCTATACAAATGCAGGCGTTAAAATTGCTTCGTATATTATTATTTTATTTTTTACAGAAAGTTTGTGTTTCCTATCAAATAAAGGCCTTATGTTCGTAAAAGTTAAATACTTGAATATATTTTTCAACTTGTAACCTGCAAGTAAGCTTGCTCACTAAAATAATGTCAACTATGATGTTTCATTTTTCTATTCAATTTTTTCTTCATACGATATTGTTTTGCCTCATTTATTTTTGGCAATAAATCTACAAAATCAACCGATGTTGATTTGTGGTTATTGACAGCTGTTCTATAATCAGTGAACCGGTCTTCAAGAACATTAATTTAATTTAACGATCGATTTGGAACAACATTTATATGTATAGTTTTGAGTAAATATAACTAACTATAATCAGTAAAGAAGACTCATTAGAGTTTTCAGTCACGAGAGCTGTGGGTTGTACAAAAACTGAATGAAGATGTGACAAGTAATAGAACCTTGACTACAACGAAAATTCTTCTTTTGAAAGAGTAATTATTTCCAACTTTATAATGTCTATCAAAAATGAGCTGCAGTTAATTTAATGATGAAATCTGGAAAGATGGATTTGCCTTCAATAACAACCGTTATAAGTCTTAGCAACGGTAGATCGAATTATGTTACGCCTGAAATCAGAACGTTTCAAAAGATAAAATATTTTGCAAAGTTTCATCTCAGTCCTCGTAAGTAGATAAGGCAATGAAGAATCACTGTACTTGTACTATTAATATACAGTTTCGAAGAATGACAGTACAATAAAAATGCCGCACGTTCAGAAAACACCGCATTAAGTTGTAGAGACATTGGGTATTTTTTGGAAGCAGGCAAGATGAAATGTAAAAGTAAACTCATACATTTTTAAATAATGGATTTATTCTCTTAAAATTTCACATCACATTTCACGAAAAGCTAATCTTTGCTAATTTTGTTCCCCTCTAAGAATTTTTTTTTATGCGAATATCAAATAGGATTTACCTAATAGGCTTTACCTTATATGAAGAAACTGAACACGAAATTTTGCTTGTGTATTTTCGTATTTTACAAACAATTAAAAACAATAGGAACAAAGACACGTTTCTTAGATTTATTTAACTTTCAAACACTCATCCTGTTAGAATTAATAATTCAAAATTTTAAGCATTACTTAATTTAGAAAGCGAAATATTAAAGTGTTAGAAGTAATACGTTTTGATGTGCTCTTCGAATTTTACACAATTTTCAATTCTTAACGAAGGGAATTTTTTTTTCTTTTCTTTTCTTTTTGCTTGCGAATATTTAATTCTGTTTCACAGTGTCAACTGCTTTGTAGAATTAACAGAGGATTTATTTGTTATACTGATTGCTCTCGTTTGAAGTTTTCACTATTATGCCGTTATGTTTTTATCCTGAAAATTAATTTTAATTAGTGAAATTCCAACAAAATCTTTTATACTCTATTCTATTTCACTTTCTTTATACTACAATTCTACTTCCAAGAATAGAAAATTTATTTAAAAGTTGGAATTTTATTCGTTTTGCACTATTCTTGTTATTTTTATTTTACATTATCATTTATTTTTTATTAGTTTAAAAAAAATTTATATATATTTTGCATTACAGTCTCGTACCGTTACTTTATCAGGTACTTATCTTTTCTTTTCAAACGTAAATAATCATAGGCGCTTTCATAAAGTATCAGTTCTACGTGTTCTAAGAATTACTATTCCAATCATGCACGATTTAACTTCTTTAAGATCTTTAGAATTCCACTGTAAAGCAAAGTGGGGACTTCTATAAATATTTTTTGTGTTAATCTTCTGTGAATTAAGTTAATTATTCTTTCTTATTTAATAAAAATCAGAATTTTATTTAATTCCGTGGATTACTAATTTAATGTATTAATATTTTATGTAAATTCTTATATTTTGGGAAAAACCAGTGCTTCAATGTATGTTATTTTTCTGTTTATTTCAATTAACCAAGAAAACTTCATTTCCTTGTGAAAAGATTCAGGGAAAAGGGCGAATTTTGCTGTGTCATTCTTCCTTCAAAGAATTAGTTTTTTAGAACATTTAGAAAAAAATGTCTTAGTTCCAGTTGTCATGAGTGAAGTGGGAACGTGATAAAATTTGGGGGGGGTTAATGTTTCACCTACGACGAAAAGTTACTGGTTTTGGCGATACAAGTGTCCAGTTTGGGCTCGGGTTTTGACTAGTTGCGCGTGCGCAGTTGGACGGTTTAATCCTTTTGGGTGAAAAAGTGGAAATTTGGTCTCTAAAAAGGGAGAAAATCTAACACAAAATCTAGTTTTTGTGGTAGCCTGTTTTTGCGAAAAGTGAAGGAGGACTTTTGTGTACGGGTCATTTTTGCTGTGCTATGTTCAGTGAGGTTGCTCTTTCACTTGCTAAGGCGGGGAGCTGCAATTACGCTGTCTGACCGTGCTTTCCACTGAAAGTTCGGGGAACAGGATTTGCTTGGTAATCGTCGGAATTAAATGAAGTACCTAATCACTTTTGGCTGTGGGGCTGTTTCGTGGAGTAAGTTGGCTTTTCTGAAGTACGAGATGCAGTTCTCGGTTGTTAGCGGGATAGTTACTTATGCTTCCCGGCTAGTAATATTTGCTGAATAAATGCATTTAGAAATAAGTAGTTCCTCGGTTGTTGTTAGATAATCATATTTCGACCCGGCTTCGTTTAACTCTTCGTGTGCGGTTAACTTTTTATTCCGCGACTATGGACGGCAGACTAATTGGCCTTGTCATGATGAAGGGATTTTTGGAGACTTCTTAGAAGTTTTGTTTTGGAACGACGGTTAGAATCAGTTAAGACTGGAATTTCCCTGCAGTAGACTGGAGTCGTAGTGCGCTGGAAAAGATAATGGCCTGTTATACCTCGTCGACTCACCTACGGACTGTGTTTTCAAGAATGCAAGCCTTAAAGCTGTAGCAGGTGACGGTGGACGGGAATATCTGGTGTTTAACAGAGGTAAACAGGCATATCTCCCGCTTCCTCCACTATCCAGAGGCAACAACTCCCTGGAGTCGGACGAGGCCGCACCAGGAGTTTATTTAAGATTTAAGAAAGGTTTACAAGGACAATTGTTTGACATAAGTTGGTTGGATTACATATGTGGTTGAGGTGAAATACAAAGTACATTATATATAGTGAATAACACATAAAAACAGAAAATAGAAAACAAATACATACACGAACGCAACCAAGTAAATACATAAAATACACTGAACACAGCACATATACACACACATAACACATAAAATAAAAACATAAACACATAAAGACATATAATATAAAAGGAGGTTTGAACGCCTAAGAATTACTCTAGGACGTAGTACATATCGCAGGGATAAATACTTAAAGTTGATTTAGGCACTTAATGCGGGACTTAATGAATAGTACATAGATGTTTAGTGCATTACTTACTACAATACTCATTACGTAAGATGATATATATTAGTACAGCTATATATTTAGTACATTATGATGACATATTACACTATACAGTATTTACTACAAAATGCATCACTTAAGATATAATATATTAGTACAACTATAAAAATACTACAATATGATGTAGTAATTATTGCTTGTTCTGATGTTAAATACTTACTAAAAATGTATTTTCCTTTTTACCCAATTGACTTATCTCAGTTATGATAAATAGAAAATAGGTATGGTTTAGGATAATTTTTGGTGCCAAAAATTAAATTTAGAAATATGGAATTTATAGGTAATTGTGAAAATTGCTAAGAATAACCTGAGCCTTGATAAACTTATTTATTATTTTGAAATTCCTATTATGTTTTTTTCTTTGTGTATTGCATTTATCTTTTATCCGATCTTTTCCTGAGCACGGTCCCCGTAAGGTGATACTCACAATGCAATGACTCCTGTTTAATTACGATCACAAATAAATGCTTAATGGGCTAGCACCTATATTTTTATGTTACCTTAGGGTTTTTGTTCGTGCTAGTTTGAAATTTAATTAGTTATTTAATTTTTATTCGGTTTCACTAGTTAATATTGTTGGACAGCAAAAAACACTCTACATTACACGCACTTCGCGAGAATAAACTCAATATTTAGATTATTAAAACAGCTACAAAGAAGGGATTCTAATGTTATAAATTATGTGCTTTAATTAGAAATTTATTTGCTGTTATTTTAATGAATATTCGTTTTTGTGTTTCTTTGTTTTAATTTTTTTAATACCTGTGTATTTTGATTTTAATCAGCTAAATATCTTCTATTGTGCTAAAGTATAAGAAAAAATAATGTTTTTATGCAAAGATCGTGCTATGCCTCACGTCACGTAAGAAGTGAAATCTCCTGTCAACAAGTGTAGGAATTCGACCGCGGCAAGATCGTTGCATACCGGGACAACAGTTCATCGTTCCTCGAAATTGTTGCTCGTGTTGGTAGGGATATAACTGTCAAGCGAATTTGGAATCGATGAGTTCAAGAGCACCATACTGAACACAGTTCAGTATCTCAGAACTAATGTTTCAGAGGACAGCCATGTTTTCCTCTTGGCTTTAAGGAAGCATGCAGTCACGTCTCGTAGCCTGAGTTTGGAGTTAGGCTCGAGTGCAGAACGTTTCCTCAATGACAGTGCGAAAGAGTCTGCAGTACCACGGATTGTCAGCAGGGCGAAACTGCTGCTTCTTGTTTGGTGCTGCAGCAGAGACAGGGGAGCCTTACTAGTGTTCATGATACCATCTTATTTAATGTCTTAGAAACATTTTAGCTGCTGCGAAAAATATCACGAAATAAAAGTTTTCATCTCCATTCTTTCCGTGTTCTGATACAAAACACAGCTGCGGTATTCTGCTGTAGAGAAGAAGCCTAACGTATGGTAATTTTTACAAAGTAATGAGCCCTCTAAACTCACCCGCTCGTCTTCGATACCTCTGAGGTCGTAGAACTCCTCCCTTGTGATCATGAAGGCTGCCAGATTGGCGGTGTAGATGGCAAGGAAGACGACGGCGAACATGGCCCACACGTTGGACATGAAGCGGGCTGTATAACCCCTCGGGCAGTCCACGTTTACCGCTGCCCCGAAGAGGATGGCCCATACAAGCCAGTACGTGCGGAACAGCGAGAAACGGTGCTCTGGAAAACAAATAGCGATACAATCTCTAGCACCATAAACAAATCAACAAAATAAATAAACAAAATTAAAAAATCCGAAAGGTTTCAGAATTTATATTACTCTCAAAGATACGCTTTATTCATCGACACACACATACACGTTTCGAGAGCATTTGGGCAAACATAATGAAAAACAGCCTATCTTTAGAATTTCCGATAGACAGTCTTGGCCGCCGGAGATCAAAATGTTTTATTCCGTACAGTGTTGCTACTACTCGCTTTGAAATCGTTCAGTTTTTTAATCAAAAGTTCGTTAAAATTTTACAAAATATGAAACAGATAATAAAACAGATTCGAAATTCAAAATTCCGGCTTCCAAATGTCCATATTCGGGCGGAGGACTACGTTATTATTTGATAGCTTTAGGTACTACTTATTTGTTTTTTCACAATGTGAGAAACACACATACATACATTCAGATTCTTCATTATTTAGTTTTCTTTAAATATAATACAGGACGATAATATTTGATGGCAACAATTTGAAAAGTAATATACGACGCAAAATCCCATTTGGAGAGTAATTGTTCGTCTGTGCCTAACGTTCCTTTGGGCTAACAATAAAAAGTGTACATTAAATTTGATCAATTAAAATAATAAATGATAACAAAAGTCATTAACAATTCAGCATTTTGTCTTAGTATCACAAATATAAGAATCTTGGTTTGGTCTTGAATTTATTAAACTGTTTAAGAAATGAAAGAAGAAGTATTGTTTATAAAATAGCCTAAAGAGAATTTCAAAACCCGTAAAGCTCTCGAAAATGTGTAAAACTCAAATAAGTAGTTACAAGAAAATCGGCTTGTTTTCATAAAAAGAAATTGCAAGTTAGAGAGTATTTTTAATGGTAAACGAAGAACATTTAATGCAACATTTTATTCGCAGAAGAAAGTTTACTGTTTTGAAGGTAATCAGTATACACAGAGTGGTGTTAAAAACGATTTATCCAGTGTGCAAGAAATATTCTGACGTCTCGAAGCTATAACATGCTTGCTAGCATAAGAAAATATTTACCCGTTCATCTTAATATAACTCGCTCGTTTATAGTGCATTATTCTGGATGTATTTTTACTATCGATATGGTAAAACGCCTTCGAACGTGAAATATTGAAGTGGATGTTTCTCGTCCACAAAAATGATGCCCCTTCTTGGAATTCATTATCCTTCCTTTGTGCCGCGTTTTTAAATCTTCAAATCAAGCTTCAAATCTTTGCTGTTTTTTAACGGCTCAGCATGTGAATTTTCATATGTTGAAGGTGTATATAAGAACGAAAATGAAATGTTGTAAATACTATATCTTGAAGTAAAACTAAGTAAATACGTTTTTGTTGTCACTTACCTCTTTTTTTTTAAACTAAAGTTGTTCTTAACGTATTGTTTTAAATATTGGATTGTATAATAGGACAGATGCGGTTTTCGAAAGGAAATTTTAAGGAACGAAAATGTCATCTTATATTAGGGAGAAATATAAAATTTTATTTTTTTGTCATTTTAAAGCTCATTAAGAACGTTAAACTCACATATTACTTTTGATAATTAATTAAATTCAACAACTTCTCCTGCTAATTTCAATCGAACTATGTCAGTGCATCTCGACATTCAAACAACTGGTCACTTATTTAAAAAAAAAATCCATCAATCGTTTTTAACATAAAATATAGCAGATAACTTTTGCCATGCTTTAAATAAATAATTTAAGGGAAAAACTGAGAAAAATAAATTATTTCTCTATATATTTCTGGCAGCTAATTTTTAAGATAAAATTGGCAAATTTTATTTAATGCAGATTGTATTGAACTAGTATGAAAAACTAGTTCAATACTTTGTATGTATGTTGAGTTGAACTAGTATGAAACAAAAAACTAGTTCAACCTTTGAAACTAGTATGAAAAATTTTCTTCACTGAGACTACAAGCAGACTAAACGCATCGACTGTGGACTGCTTAACAGCATTTAAAGGACTATCAAGGAAATTAAAACAAATTCTACTACATATTTTTTCCTGCTCTCATTTTTGTTAAAACCATAACATTAAACTACAAGTAAAATGCTTAAAGTTACATAAAAGAATAAATCTTTAATTTATTTATAAATTTATGGCGTTCGTACAATAGACCTTTCTGATGTGAGCAACTCATATATTTAAGATTTGAAAAGGTAAAATTTATATTTTGCCGTATGGTTTTTCATTAGTACTGTAAAGTATACTTTAAATTTATAACAGTTTATAATGGTGCTTTCCTATCAATTCTTGTTTCCACTTACAACTCCCTAACCGAATGAGTTTTTAGAATCACGTTGAATGCAAATAAGTCAGAAGTACTATTTAAGGAAGGCTCAACTTTCTTCGAGAGAGATAGCTAGGAATACTGAGTAGCGCGCGTTTGCCTTCGGGCTAAATCTCTCTTGAAACTGTTACCGCCGAATAGCACGTGCCTTTTAATATTTAAATTAAATTAATGGCTAACTACGTTAGATAATTGTGTTAGCTTCTGCTAAATCTCTTAGTTAGTTCTAATTTAGTTCTTATTTCTTATTATGAATTTAAGCCCAAGTGGAGGCTTTGTTGTAAGCCCGAGAAAGAGGCTAACTGCTCATCTTATTTTGAGTGAAATAAAGTGTAGTTAACCTTCTTTGAGTCTACGTCATTAGTTATTTGAACTTAGCGATAAGTCGCTTTACAGTTCACTAGGCTCCTCAACGTTCATTTTAGTACAAGAGAAAGTACTATAATACAATTACCAAAACGTAGGCATAATAATAAACAGTTAGGCTATGCAACGAATTACAGTTTGGAACCTTTTCAGTGAAATGCAGTCTTACTTCATTAATAATTTTCTTTCTTAAGCAAAGCTTTTATGAAAAATATACATTAGCTTGACATCTTTTATTCTGAGTTGTGCTTGCATTACTACTTGTGCTGTTTCTGGAATAGTTATATGTAAAACACCATTTTTCACGTTTAAAGAGTGCCATTAACTTTTATTTACTTAAGCCCATTGATATCTTTTTTTTTAATTCGCTTAATATATTTTTTATGCATTTCTTTTGAAAATTGTGCTTTTCACGCTTCAGACGTTTCCAAGACAGATTCTCTTGTCTCATCAATTTTACTCACTAAGAATCGAACCATCCGTTCTTGATGCGTTGAAAAGAAACCGCGTAATTTCCTTGTAGTTAATTTTACTTCTTTAAAATGTTTTCAAAGCTTTCCTAATAGCATCTTATTTCTTAAGAATGGAAGGAATATATTATTTTCCGTTATTCCGTTTCCGTTTTTTAGATTAATATTTTATATAAATATGCTCACTCTGTCTTTTATCGTTCTGTATTAAAATATAAGAAGCATTTTAGCTAGACTGAAACTTGGTTTTCCTAGAAGCGGGCCGCTGATGTATTAGTAGTGGGCCATGTGATTCATTTTTGGTTTTGATTGTTTAAAAGTTAAACGAATTGCATAGGAAGACTTATTAGAGCATAACTTAAACAATCGATTTTATCATTCAAAATAATATACTTTTTAAACTGTTAAAGTAGTCGACAAAGCACCCACTATGAGAGGTTGGAAAATAAAGATCCAAAATTATGTGTTCTCTCAAAATTAATTAAACAAATATTTTATGCATTTTGAATACAATATATAAAATATGAAGAGAATATTTCAATAGAAATCTGATACTAATATAAAATGATATGTACTTTCGGGTAAAAAAATACTAAACGAATATTTATTCCTTTAAAAAAACACTATAAAGAGGAAAAGGGGGCAAAAAGAAACCACTTTGCCTGAAAATGTTTGGAAAGTTTGCTTTCAGCACATTAACTAAAGTGTTATTGAAGAAAGTAAAAGAAGTGTTTTTGTATGATAATATACATAAAGTTCAACCAATCAACAGTTAAATTTTCATCTTCTGCCTATCATTGCGAAGCTTTAAAAATTTATAGCCCACTGTCGATACGTGGCTCAGTAAAAATCACTTACTTAAGTAAAATACAAAAGTATCAGAAAACAATAGAACCTAAAATTCAGAGTCTCTTAATTTATTTTTTGATGTTAAAATGCTTTCAGAAAAGTTGTTCCTAACATTTATTCCGATTTCATATTGCTTGTTATTAATGCAGGGATTAAGAAATGAAAAACATTTAAGATAAATTTTAAAAACATATTTTAGCATTTGTAGTTAAAAACAAGATCTACTTCTTTTATAATTAATCCCCTCCAGTTTAGTTAATGAATAAGAAGTCTTACCTCTGGGGGGTAACATTTTCATGTCATAGCCAGAAGGGCTTAGCCACTCAAAGAAGAAAATTGCTAAGGCTGCCACTTGGATGCTGATTAGCAGAATCATCAACCAAGACGTCGTATCAAATGGTTCTGAAAGATAAAAATTGAGATCATATTTTGCTGTTCTTGTAACTGAATAAATACAATAGAGGGGAAAAATCTGATTGAATTAGAAGATTACTTCATTCAAGCTTTTGTTACTTCTATATTAATTCCCATTAAAACATTCTGACAATAGGAGAGAAGGAAGGAAACAGAAAAGAAATATTATTGCTAGAAAATATGTATAAATATAACTATTTAATATTAAATTTCATAATACTGCATTTAACATTATATTGGCATCTCTATGATGTATTTCCATTTTGTGGCTTGCAAAATAAGCATGCACGAAATATCCAATCATGAGGAATAGAGAATCTAGGATATCTATGTATGAATCGCTTTATTCCTTACTTCCGAAAAAGTCTTGCAAATACCGTTTTCAAAATCTTCTTTTATGAATTTAGTTTCTAGAAACTGCTCTTCCCTTTAGAGGAAGACCAGCTTCATTCATACCTCGTAATAAAACTTGTATGGCTGGAGGGTTTTCCAAGGAGAACTGCACTGAATTAGAGATACACAAAATATTAATTCCTGTTTGCAAGATTTATGGGTCTATTACATTTTAAAATATTCATGTTTTTATTGTAGAAGAAATGCTTGTTGATGTAGATATATATAGCCTTTATTATACTCTAGTTTACTTAGCGTGTCACTCTTTTCTGTTTGTGCTATTTTTACCACGGTTTTATTATAACATATGGTACTTTATAAAAATCCATCATATACTTAAAATTCTGTAATTCCTAGCTGCATCACATGTGGATCTGATGAAGTATCACGGTAATAATCCATGTGAACAAAAATAATTTTCTTAATGCTACTGTCCATTTAGGAATAAATTGAAATAATCAGTAAAGTAGCAACATTTGTAGAAAAATAAAAGTAATAGAAAATTATTAGAAACTTAGAAGAAATGAAGCAAAATACTAAAAAGCTTAGTTTTTGTTATAAAATAAAAAATGAACTGCAAAAGCAGAAAAATTAAAAAATAAAACAGCAAAAAGATAAAAATTCTTCCTTGTTCTTTGTTTTCTGTTGCAATTTTTGAAATTTCTTGTTCATTTACTGCAAATTCATTGTTTGACAAAATAGTGCTAGACCATTATTGTCATACATTGGGAAAAGTGAAATTTGAAAATATTTAGTAATATATATGATAAATCATTATTGCTCAAGTGGAAAAGAAGACGGATTTCATAAGCAAATAAGGGAGTTAGAGTCGTTGCCAGCGGAAATTTCAAAATATACAGCTAAGAATTAATTAGTTGAAGTGATAAAGAGAACATACTATATGTTGACTAAAGGATATATACTGGTAATAAGAGAGCTTATCCTGATCAGCCATAATTTTTCCATTTATAGTAACTATTATTACAATCCACCGTTCACATTAACCAGTTGATTAATTTAGATATTTGGTTACTTGTCTGTTATGTATGCATTTAATACTTAAAATTTAAAAGTCTTTCAAGAACGGAAAATTAAATAATATAAGCACTAGGCTTCAAACTACATATGCAGAAGTATTTAATCAGATTGGAAGAATAAAAGGAGAGAAAGCAATGTCTCCCAATAGAGGACAGAAGATCTAGGATCATGAATGTGAAGCAAGTTTAAAGAAACTTAGCTTCAGAGAGCAAACAGCTTGGCAAGGGAGGATGCGATATTAGAACAAGTCAAATTTAAACAGAAGGGCAATATGGAAACGCGTGATTCAAAACATTCAGGAAAAAAAAGCTTAATATTAAATTACATATTCATCTTTCCAGGTAAAGAACAGAAGATTAACATAAATAATGGTTAAAGTGAGATTGAAAAGAAGTTAAGTTTACCAGATTTACGTAATTAGCTACTATCATTACCTATTTTTACTAGAAATAATGAATATTTTCCCGCATTTTCGATCTGGAGTTTACAATGACATAATCAGCTGTTCAAATGTATTTTTTCTTGGAGAGATTATAACAAGTAATTTTGGATTCTTTGCTTTCAATGTTCCTATGTGTTGAATCTCAATTCAAATGACGATATCTATTTTTATTTCTGACTTATAACAAACTTGCTTTCAAAATCGGAAAACAATACAAAAAATACATCCACAAATGGATATCCACAAAATGGATCATACAAATTCGGAAAACCCGGTGGTAATAATCAATTTATTTAAGGGGACAACAAATATGATATAAAAGTAGTTACCATTATAGAGTTCTTTATTCCCTTTCATATGCAGATATATTTTCTTCAACTATACAATATTTAATTTTCTTATGTCATGAAATATTCCTTTTCAAAAATAGTTCAGTATCAGTTAAACGCTGTCGAGCTCACAGACATGGTTTAATTCTTGCAGTATAACAGAGTATAATGAAAAGAATTACAGTTTTGTTTTAAAGTTGATACAAGCGATATGTAATTATAATTAGAAAATACTAAATTAAGCCTTCTGCAGCTCAGAATACATGCAGCTGTCATTAACTGCCCTTTGCATATTCATCAGAAATGACATCATCAGAACTTTGCAACATAAATTTGCATCAGAACTTTGCTTCATCTTTGCAACACCATCATAAATGACAGCTATTTGTAACGTAATGTAACGCAACGCAAACTGACACTAGTATAGAGTAGAAAGAACTCTAGGCATTCTGGGGTTATATATCTCCAGTGAAAGACAAGAACAACACTGTTTTAACGTATGATATCAATGAAATGATTATTCTGAATAGTTTTTCAACTTTTAGCTGGCATAATATAAATTCCAGGGATATAAACATGAGAACCGTGCCAAGCTATTTCTTTCCCTGAGGCAAAAAGGTAAATGCGAGCCCACATATATATATATATCAAAATAGCTATATTTATATTAAACAAAAGTAACTGTATTTAATCAAAATCAAATGTATTAATCTTAAAGTATTGTTTAATCGTAGCTTTATAAATTTAGAAAAATAATATAGCCAATTATTTATAACTTTCAAATGAAAATGTTAAAAAATTCTTTTTTGATAAACAAGAAATAACATCGAAATGCTGCACATTGCATTCATTTTCAGATTTTCTTGCAATTCTTGCTATTGTTTTATTAATTTAAGTTTGTCGAAGCTTATTTCCCCTAATAATAACTGAAAAATTTAAAAACATAATTAAAGTAATATTCGAATTCGTATAGCCAATCCATCACCCCTTCTAGTGATTCACCTGAGGCAAGTGCCTCAATTGCTTCACTCTTGTCCCGGCTCTGGTAAACATCATGTTTTGCCCCTTAATTTTATTTGAAATACTGTGGTGGTGATTCGTCTAGGTAGTTTTATAAATTTCATTTAAAATATTGAGCATACTTTAGCATAAAATAATGTTTATTATCATTTCAGTGGCTAAATCTTTACATTCTCAGAAATTGTGCTCTTATTTGCAAGACTCTAGATCACTTTTATACCAATTGCATCCAAAGTTTTCGCCATAATAGTTAAAATTATTTCCAGGCATTCCATGCATGGATATTTCGGCTCTCGGCATGAGAGAAAATGAGAGCTTATGGGATTAAGTGCAAAACTCACCTAAAAAGGCTTTGGGGGAAATAATTCCCGTCTTCTTGGCGACAACGATGGCGATTCCTGTCTCCATGAAGGGCACTGTGAAATCGACCGCCTTTTGCCTCTCGGAATTGATTTTAATGGAGGTGACCACCATGTCGGCGTTGCCGTCCAGGATTTCTTTGACAAGTCCGTTCCACGTATTATTCTATCGAAAGAAGAAAGAGAGGAAGACCTGAAATTGTTTGCGGAAAACTTGCAAATATATTAGATGAACACCAAAATTCACATAATTTGAAATAAACAGACGACTACTTTCATATCATTAATATATGTCATCAGAGATTATTAAAAAGAAAGCTTACTGAATCAAAATGCTAAGACAGGTTTCCATATATTCTATTAAAGTAAGAAATGATCAAAGATTACATCATTTCGAATTATAACGGTATCATAAATATATAATTTTTGAAATTTTGATTACTTGAAAATATGCGATATACAAAACAGGATTGGAAATATCTCTCAGGAATGATAATTTGCGAGGACGTATTGATATTTAATTTCATGGAGAAAAACGATGCAAACAATGCGTAGACGCTATAGACGTTTCTAAAGCGGTTAAAAAATTATAAACAAGTATTTCAAGAAAATTCTTAAACAATTTATTATTATTATTTAAGAAATATATTAATATTATTTAATTTAATTATATCTCCTCAAAATCTGATAGGATTAAGAATTAAACAAACAGAACTACAAAGAAATAAAATCCATTACACACATTTGCGATTTATTGTTTCACTTGCTGACCTTACCTTCATAACAAGGTCTTTCAAAGTTAAATCAGAACATGCAAAATGACTTCCAACATCTTGAGTTTATAAACAAGGCAATAGCATTCATCATACATTATAATTCCTTTTTTTAAGATGTAACATGCAAACTTATCCTAGTATTTGACATAAGTGACATGCAAGGTTTTTATTTCTCTCTTAAGGCTAATGGATGATCATAATATTTAATGTGCCATTGCTATTATTTAAACTTTTTTAACCTTAAAATAGGTACTTATCTTCTGGTAAATTAGTTGTTAACTAATTTTTATTTTTTAACTGTCAGTGAAAGAAGCATTTGACAGCTCAAAATTCTATCACCAAACATATTTTTTTTCTTTGCAAAGAAGAAATGGTACCGGTGACAGATATTAAATGTGATTTTTATCGCATTTTAAAAACTGAAGAAAATACGCATACATTTTTGTTGTATTTTTGGGGAAAGTTATTTAATATTAGATGAGAGGCGTTTAGCAAATAAAATTAGTTAAAATTATTTTGTTATCTTAAGTCATAAAAGCGATGATGGTTTAATTTCTTCCTCATGTCAATAATAGTTACGTTGTAATAACAAGTTACGGAAATGACCTCTATGGCCTCATATAATATACTCATACACTCATGGGAGATTTTCTGAGTATACTCTTTCCCATTTGCGACACATATTCGTAAAGCCACGAAAGCAAAACTACGAAAATGGACTGCTTTGTTTTCTGGAATTAAATCTAGATTAAAACACCAATGTTCAGCCATTCTTCAGCCATTTCAAACACTAGGTATAAAAAAAGGAGTAATTTACCAAAACGAAGTTAAGAAGAACTTGTCATTTGAAATTTATCTTAATTTAAATAATTTATAAAGGTATTAAGCAGAAAAATGAAATTAAATAATTATTTTTACATCAGCAATAAAAAAGAGACTGGTAAACTATTTCCTTTTAATATTAAAAACATCAAATAATGTTCTGTGCTTAACAAAAATTTTATATTTTTCTTACTTCAAAAACACCCCAAACGCCGTCTTCAACTCTATAGAGGTCGTAGCTAAATCTCAAATCGTTGGCGAACTTCTGGAGCAGATCGATGCAAAAACCGGAGCAGCACATATAATAATTCGAATTACGCATGGCAATGGATAAATTAGCCCTGAAATAAAAAAAATGTATTGATTACTTTATTCTAACTCAAATGTATACAATAATGCAATAATAATACGAATATCCGACTAGACGTTAAGCAGTACTTTTTGGCTCATGACCTTTTTAAACACTTGCTTACAGGGAGAATAGACCGATCCTAATTTATTTAAAGTGCTTTTCTATCCATTAAAGTGAATGATATAAATAACACTGATTAGATAGGAAACATCTTACAAAAATGTAAAACGCCAACAACTTCCGCTATATGGAGGAGACAGAATCCATGCGCTATTGTGGAAAATCCCTTGCATTAGCCAAAAGTAAAAGTACGGTGCATTTCGCTGTGCCATTCATTATAAGTTCTTTTTTGAAGAAGTTTACATCGGTTTACTTCGAACTGTTTCTACCGCAGTCGAGAATTATCAAGGATTTATGAAAGACAAAAATCATTCCCTCTTTTCAGAATTACTTCCGATAACAGACACAATAATTTCTTCTTTAAGAGATTGAATCATTTACTCTTTGCAAGAAATGCAAAGAGGCAAGTACTCTATGTACTATGCAGCACTATTAAAAGACACAACCATTCGATCTTTGCAAGAGATACAAGAGCTCTATAGTGTCACATTCAAGCAGGACGGAGAACTTCGTACAGGTCCAGCTAAGCAAGTGCTGCGATTGGAATTTGAAGATGATCGTATCTTCAAAAGCTGTTTCCCACACGAATGACCACCTAAACCTTACACCTTGTAACTTTTGGTTATACGCTGTTTGAGTCAGTGTTTCAGTGTTGTCCTTTGGCGCCACACTGTGAAATATTCTCGGTGATTACACACATAATTACCGACGCCGGCCGCTTTTAATGAATGTATTAAGCTGGAAGAACCCGAATATTCGGAGAAGCAACAATATCAGTTAGGAAGTTAGGATGTCATAAAAACTATAATAGTGCAAAATTCCATCATTTAATGGCAATCAATCGAATATTTACAAAATGAAAAAAAAAAAAAAAAAAAAAAAAAAAAAAATGGATGGCCTGAATACTAACTACGTAATTTACAGATAATAAAAACTCTTCCAACTTTTTCTTTAAGAAATACTGATTAACGTTAGTCAAGGATCAAGATTTTACACTATCAGAAAAGAAATATTAATATCTAAGAATTATACATCACTTACCTTGATGCCAAAATAAGTGATAACATGGAACTGCAACAATTGCTTAAGGTACAGTACATATACAGAGTGCCCACTGCCGAATGGCTGACGCTATACTCATAAAAGTGGGGTCTAGGCATCGTAGAGTATCTATACGCTACTAGCTGAAACCGTTTATAGCATCACCTGGTGGAAAACGACGGAGTTAGCGCTATCAAAACAGTACGCACGAGATAAGAGGAAAAGTAAATTACAGAGTTGTAGATAACCATCGAATTTCGTACAAAAAGACACCTCGAGGACAGTAATATGAAGAACAGAACATTTTAAATTCGCATTGTATATATATATGTTTATATGTTTGTTTATATGCGATTTCCTACTCTGTGAAGTGATGAAACGATCATAGAAAGGGAAACAAACAGCTAATCACAAGACATCTTTATTTCCGATATTCCTACTCCTCTCTGTAGGCCGAAATGTACATCTCGACCCTTGTTACAACTTCACGTTGCATACGTTGAAGCACAACAGGTGACACGTTTGCACAAGAAGCATTAATACGTTGCTGAAGGTCCTGCAGTATTTACGGAGGGGTCGCATACATCTGCTGTTTGAGGTATCCCCCACAGGAACAAGTCCTTTGGTGTGAGGTCTGGTGAAAGTGGAGGACACTTTTTGAAATCACCATACCAGATTATTCTGTCTCCGAATTTCTCCATCAGGTACTGCTTCGTTGGTAATGCCTTGTGCGCAGGCGCGCCGTCATGTTGAAACCATCCATTTTGGAGTTGAAGCAGACTCATATTCCAGATAAGATCAAGTATTACGTGTTGCAGAAGTTCTAAGTATCGTGCTGCCATTAATGTAGCCTGGTAAAAATATTGGGCCGATTAGCCCGTTACTGTAAATTCCACACCAAAAATTAATCGAAACCGCATTTGATTTCGTAGAACATGATAGACTTTCCAGTGCACAGAAATGGTAGTTCTGCCTATTGTACATTTCATTCCACGAAAAGCATGCCTCATCCGTCCACACTATCTGCCAATAATATTGACTGGAGCTCTGGTTCATGAGGAAGTTGCACCATGCTAAACATCTCCAGGCATCCCATCCAGTAATGCCTGAGAAGATGTTGGCCGGTATGAATGAGCACCTTAGGATTTTCTCAGAGGCCGCTGTTCAGATATGTGAAGGCGTTGAAAATACATTTTCCAGCTATACTTTCCGTCCTATCTTAACTGATCTGCTGGATTATAGTCGGCTAGTCATGCAGCCTATCTCCTTTAAACCTCTCACAACCCGTAGGACGGTTTTGTGCAAAGCATGCGGCCCTGCAGGACAACGTTGTCAATACAACGCGCAGCTCATCGTACCTTACGCCCACAGTCACTGTAAAATAGAACCATGACACAATAATCATTTTTTGAAAATCGCACCATGAGCATGAGCTTCAGCATACAACTTAAAGAAAATACCTCTTTCATAGTTATCTCAGGTGAACAGATTTGACGTTTCAGACTAATGCACTAAGTTCGCACACCAAGCTCAAGTTCCGTTGAGTTCATGCGTGGTGAGACACAATTGTGCATGATCTGAATATTGTGTACTCAGTTTGAAAAGACAATCAGTACAATGATGCACCGCGCGGGTTTTGATCCACATATCTTTTTATTCAAGTTTCGTGAATCGCGTCACAGTTTCGAAAATCGTGAAGCAACAAATGTGAGTTTTCAGCGTTCTCGTTTTAGCATTCATATCTACAAGATGCCTAATTGCACTAAGATGACTATCTACAACTTTGTAATTCACTGTTTTCTCCTATCTCGTACCGTTTTCGCGATAGGAATGCTAATTCCGCCGTTTTCCTCCAGTGGCGTTGTAAGCGGTCTCATCTACTAGCGCATAGCCACTTTACTATATCAAGACACCATTTGTATGAGCATAGCTGCAGCCGTCCGGCAGTTAAACGTGTGGTACTGGACTTAAGTGGGCGTCTCATATATATATATATATATATATGAAATGTAGAATCTCATACACTGTCAGGACTTGTATGTCTTTTGATTTGCTTGGGAAATATAACGTATCCTGAATAGGAACAGAGAGGTTACTAAAGCTATGTTCCAGTATGTGTGGAATAAACGACACAAGCAGGAAGGATATACTGAACCCTTTATTCTCTATTACTTTACATGTGCTCCCGTACTTCGAGATACAGAGACCAACCACTTGTGATGTGAACGTAAAAATATAAAACTAGTAACTAAAACGCTAACTAAAAGCTAACTTTGAATTAGTATACAAACGCCTAACACTAAGACTGGGCTTTTTAAAAAGTTACGCAGGTAGTACGCAAACTGCTGAAAACAAACAATAACGTTTAAAATAATATCGAGAGGACTAAACCTCTGGTCCTTTAAATGCAAGACAGCCAAGCTGATTGAAAACTCGTGCGGAATGCAGTGGCAAGCGGCTCGCTTCCTCTCTCTCTCTAACTCTTGGTAAAAAGCCACAACTTAAATACTTGAGCGTTAGCTAGTACACTTTTCATAAACAAATTAAAGCATTTAATTCTGGCCGGAAGTGGAAAATAAGAAAGATAGAAAAGTTTACAACATTATTTGTGTTCTGCAGCCGGAGCAACAGGAATGAGACAAATTTTGGAATATAAAGTGATACGTTTATTTTATTATTTTAGCATACATCTCACAAGCATTCCTCCTGTATCTCGAGTAGAAGCCTTATTTATAAATATGTGTGCGTCATGGTGTTCATCCAATCAGCGATATTACTTGAAATCACGAGGTGACGCTACCTTCTCATCACGAGTATTCTTAAATACTTTATGTAATATGACAGATTTATGGGTTTGGCGATTTGGCGGGCTCCAACCTGTTAATATAATTTATAATAAAGAAAGGATTTCGCCAAAATTTAGGAACAGGGATGCAAGTTAGGTAGAGAATCGCCAACACATTATTAAGGAATATGATTAGAATTTAATTTAATCAATTGATTTAAATATATCATTACATATCATATATATATATATATATATATATATATATATATAATTTATTAAAAGAAATTGTTTTCCATATACCATCTCCAAGGAACACAAATTGAATTTAAAACCATGAAAGAAAAAATTTTTAGAAGGTAAATAGCATTTTAAATAGTAAATTCAACTTTTGTTTATAAATCGGCTAAGAAAAGTCTTTAATCGCAAAAACCCAAAACCAAAAGTAAATTTTAAATATTGAATAAGCAACTATTGTCATTGATCGCTTATTAATCGACTTATCAAAAGGAAAAACCAATCTACCATCAATTAACAACAACTAAATTAAGAGAGTGTTTCATCTTATTTCCAAGTAAGCATCAAATTATTTGCTAGAATCAAACCATAAGTCACAACTAATACTCGATCCAAAAAAAGACATTAGTCCATTTAAGCCATAAGAATCTTATAAACTAAAATAGCAAATAACCTCAAAATTAAAGTTTCTCATTAAGAACACAATTAACCTGTACGAGATGTTTACTTTAGAAGACATATCCCCCTACACTCTCACTGAAATTCAAAAATAGACGTAAACATTTTAGAACATTAAAAGGTTATTCAAAATCATAAGAAGATAAAAAATGATACAATCTTAAATTAAATTTAAAAAACAAGTAGTTAATTAGAAATTTAAAAATCAAACTAGTATGTTAAAATTAACAAACTTGCTTTCAAAATTTTAAGTTTTAGGTCTTTTAATTTACCTTTAATTACTTTATTTTGAATATATATATATATATATAGAGAGAGAGAGAGAGAGAGAATCACATTTGTACTTC